AATCCAATCGGTTTTCTCTATAAAAAAACTTGTAATTTTAAATAAGTACCAACATTAATATTATGTTTCATATTTTTCATGCTTTTAAGCATTAAATAGATAGACCACAGAGTTGACGGTTTAATTTCTGTAGATAATTTGTTAAAATTTGTAAGAAACCTATTTTCCGACAATGATTTGGTTTTATTTATTTTTCTCAATTTTAAAAGTTTTCCATAGCCATTATATATCTTTCTTTGAATTTTCAGGCAACAGATTTAGTGAAACAGTATTTGCCGTTTTAACCATGTATGGGTGAATTTAATGGTTCACTACAACTATTGTACTGATTGTCATCTTTCGTATTTATGCTTGTTTGCACGCTTCGCAGTCAAACCGTCACTGGTTCGATTGTGTCACGTACTCGTGTCGTTTGCAATAAAAAATAACACTTAACAAGGATAATTAATGGAATTTTAACAAATTCCGAGATAAACGAGTCAAAAGCGCCACAGTAATATCAACAAAAAAAGGAATAATAAAAATGATAAATCTAAAAATAACAATAAAATCACATATGCTCCAAACGCGTTGTAATAATATAACATGATAAATCGTATAAAAATAAATATAATATTTTTAACAAATATAACTGAACATACCTTGAACGGTCTGGCGTTCGAGTGGTTATGCCCACGCGACCGTGTTCACATGTGCGATGAACGCTACAACCGGCAGAAGAATCGGTTGATCAGCGGCGTTGGTCTAGATTTACAATAACTGGCTTCTCCACGCACGACGATATCCGAAAGAAAATTTCGCAGACACGGATCAGCTACGGTTCGAACAGTCGTCACACACATGAAGTTGTCTCCGGAGATGGCGACTCCACCGTGCTATGCCGCAATCACAATAACACACGACACGGGAAAAACGTCGAGTCGGACGTTCGCAGAGAGAGTGTCGGCGGAAAAAAGTCCCGGCAGTAATGGCGTCCACGGACCGATGATAATTGTACCGCAATAACGCGCCGATCGAAAATTCTCGAACATCACACGCCAGCACCGTTATCGGGTGCATCGGTGAACACGAAATGAGATCATTTGAATGGCGAACGATCTCATTTTCTAATTCGAATTATTATATAAATCGCGCAAAACAAATTTATCCGTAACGTCCAACGCACTTGTGTGGAAATATGTTCAAATGTTTATGCGTCGTGCAAGGAGGTTGTAAAATGTGTATAAGATTTAACCGAAACTTTATGTTTTGTACGGATAAATATGACATTTCAACGCTTCGACCGTGGTCGAAAACCAAACTTTCGGTTAACAGACGTGACAAAAATGTTATACCTAGAGAGTTATGTTTTAATATCGATTGCTGTTTACCTTTGGGTTTATCTTTTCGATTTCTACGTTTGTATAGCACTCACAAGTGTAACGAGAACTTTAAATGGCTAATAAAATTATTTTTTGGGATGAAAATAATTCAACAGTGGACGATCCTATAAGTAAGGGAGCAGGTTTTGGAATTTTTCAAGAATTTTGTGAAAGCATGAATGCTCTGCAAACGTTTTCAACGCCTATAATAATACACAAAAACAGTAAGATTGTTCGAGCCGCAGATGCTTCGCACCGCCGGCACTTGTGCCACATGATTCGCGTGTCCAAGGAGGCTTGATATCGGTCCATCCCGATCCCTTCGCCATCGCCTATCACAGTCCGGCCCCGAGTCTCACCGATTGTCGTGCGCGACAACATCGATTGGGGGCGTACAGCGGTGACTCGCCACTTTTCATTTTCAATAATTATGAATTATTCATTCTTATTTTTTTTTGTGTTTTTTACTTTCTTTCTTCGCGTCGCGGTGCCACCTTGACTTGTGTACGTTTTTAACTTGCGGTTTTGTTTTTTTTGCTAATTAACGTATTTACGCTTTTTTGTTGTCGTCGTTACATTCGACAAAAGTGCGTTCTCGCCGCCACCATTATTAATGAACGTGTGTGCGCCTTTGCCGTCGCTGTTCAAAACAGCGGGTACGTTCGTGTTGTGGCCCGGTTCGTGTGTGCTGTTTCATCATTGCTTGTCTGCAACTCCCATCTCATAGTGTTAAGAATGATGTCCATAATTTCCATCGTCGGGTGATAGTCAAATCACTAATTATTATTATTATCATTATTATCATTGTAAAAAGTATGATCAGCGAATGAATTTCTGGTCATTTATAATATAAATATTTGTTAATTTATTACTACTCTGGGGCGCCTCATCAATTCAATATTTGTATATTATTATTATTATAATTGTTAAGCGCAACGAGCATCCATTGTATGCCTTGTTGTTGTTTTTCAATCATTAATGTCGAATCGTACGATGGGTCTTCAATATAGCTATCTCGCAACTAAACGCGAGTCTTAGTGGTTAACTGCCACAGCCATAAGAGCCGCCACGGCGTTGACAAAGATAATGATATATATTGAAATAATAGTCTTGAAAGATTCTTCCAATCTCGTCAAACATTTCCGTTCTCTCTTAAAAATAATAATTATGTACCGTCACCATAATAACACGCCTTCACGAAACAAATAAATTGATTTTGTGTCATCGTTATTGATATACCTAAGTTATATTGAGTATTATAATTTTTATTAAAAGTAAGACTTATAAATTTATTATTAGTGCTATTTCATATGCAAAAATTTACATTCCAATGGTCGTCAACATTTAACACAAAGGGTTTTAATTGATTTTTATTTGAAACGTAATATAATATACTGTATAAAATGGTTAAAAGATAATTAACATGGTTTATTTGATAAAAAAAAATAAATAACCAGTGTTGTGCATCTAGATAATTTTATCTAGATTATTTATCTAGATAATAATAATTTAAATTATCTTATTAGCATAATCGTAAATTTTATTTGGCCCAATTTATTACATAAACAATATTTGACCTAACCTGATTCTAACCAATGGAAATGTTTACAAACCGAATACTTATAAGTGCTTGAATTGTATGAACTTAGTGCGCGAAAAATATAACATAAAATATTCGTCGAAAAAAGTGTTTGTAATTTAGTTAAAAATTGCATAGGCCTCAATAAAAGCAAAGTATGATTTATTTAATATGTGTTCAATGTTGAATCAATTAACTGCACATAATGTATGTATAACCGATCGTGTATAGGTATGCGAATAAAAATTATAATTTTTCATTTCAATAAAATATTATAAAATTGTTCATAGAATTTAAGAAAACATTATTATACAATTGTCGGATAGAATAACTAACAAAAATATGGTGTATGTTGTTATGATTACAGGGCTCGGATTTAAACGCATTCGCATGGGTTTTTTTTTTTATGAAATTTTTACTTTTATCACTATTTTTATGATAAATTAATTATTTTAAATTTTAAAATGATTTTGTCATGTTTAATTTGTAAATAGTATATTTAAATGTATTGAACGAATCTGATAATATGTGCGAAACTTTGAAAATTTTGTCAGTATAGGATCGGCTGTATTTTAACGGAATACTTTCTAAAATTATTTTGTATACCTATACTATTTATAATAATGTCAAATAATGGTGTGAAGTTAAAATAATTATTTCGGTTATTCGTGTAGAAGTACATAGTTAATAATATAACTTAATTCTAATGAAGTAATTGAATAAAAAATAAATCTAATTAAAAATTTTAATCGACTTACGAAAAATATTATTTGTAAATTATATGATAATGTGCTTAGGCTGCATATTCACAGTATTACAGGCTGTAGCCATGTGGTTAAGTCGTATAGTCATTAACTTTAACATGACGCATTCATAGACTTAATAATAAATTAATTTTCTTTTATTCATTTCATGTTTAAAAACTACTATTATCATAGCGTTTTACTAATAAAATATTACATTTTAAGTTTTTATGCTATGTATACTGTCCCGCTTTCATTCATCGTGACTTTCTAACCACGATAAAATTATTTATTTATCTACTACCTATCGTAAAAATACAAATATCCAAATATTATATGTTTGAAGTACCACCTGTGTCTAATTTTTAGTCTAAAATAGTTAGAATCCGAAGTATTCTGTGAAGTCATGCAATTTTTCCCGAAAGTTAGATCACGACAAAACACGAATAAAATATTTTTATTGAGCTCAAACTCCTCAATTCACCCATGATCTAAAATTATCGCCAATGTTAATAAAATAAATGGTAAACGGTTACATTAATGGTAGTCAACATAAGAACTATTGTTTTCCATTATTATGGTGTGCTATGTGCGGGTTTGACTAATTCAGAGTTCAGATTGGAAAATATATTATACATGTAGGTATTTATTATAATTTTATAGCATATAATTTGAATAAATTATAATCCTTAATTGATATTTTATTCACATCGTGGTGAAGAATAAGTACCATTCAACTTATAAATAGTATGGTTCAATGTAACCATAATAACCATTAAGATAAGAATAAAAAATAAAAACTGGATTCTAAAAATTTTGATTGATTGGACTGGATCTAAATGTAGATTTTTTCCGTGCGTGAAAAGCTAAATAATTATTAAAAATGTGCTGTTGTACGACATAGTACTTCATACTGCCTTTTTTCTACACACTACTCAATCAATAACAATCTAAAATTCATCGATATATTAATCAAATACCGATGAAAAATTTCCAACGCGACTAAGTGAAAGACGAAAACATCGTTTGCATATTTTTAACAGTCACTGCAAACAATATTGTTAGCCCCAACAAATGCCAGATCGGACTATTGCCCCCGTTCTTGAAATACCCCTTAAAGTCACCCTTATATACGGTCCTGGTAATGTCCTTTATAATATAAATTGAAATATTACGCAAAACTATCGAAAGAATGAATTCGGAGCACATAATGAGAACCACTGTAACTGATAGTGCAATGTCCGTTACGGCGTTCATACCGAACCAAGGAATAATCACAACAGGTTGATAACGTTTTAAGCCTTATCGTTATCAATGTTGTTGTTTTGAATATTTATAGTTCGATATTGAATACGTATAACATTTTATTTTGAAGTTATTTTTTTCTCCGTGTGTCAAGAACGTGCCTTTTTTTTGTCTTGATTTTTAACCCCGATTTTCGATCGGAATACAGTTTGTCAAGTGATATTGTGAGCATGGCCGTTCCGAACGACTTGAGTTTGGAATCTGTTCGTGATTTCATGATTATGAACGGTGGTAAAGTTACTAATCATGACCTAGTGACTCATTTTAAATATTTTCTTACGAATCCACAAAATCGAGGTAAGTTTTATAGCAATGTTGGGCGTTAAAATACTTCGGAAATTAATGCATTTTGGTATTTCGTAGCTGAAGCTAGACATCAGTTTAAAGAGATTGTCAACACTGTCGCTACAGTTATCCGCGGAGAAGATGTAATTTATTACAATAGGCTTTTTGTTTTACATTTAAATAATTGTTTCTAACTTTTAGGGAGAAAAATATTTAATGCTTAAACGTCGTTTTCGAGTGGCTGGTTGTGTCGGTTTGTCGTTAGAACCATCTATGAGTTCAGCTTCTTCACTTACGTCTCTAACCTCATATCCCGGTTTATCTGCTGTCCATCATTCATTATCACAAGACTCTCTTATTGATCCACCTAGATTTCAACAAAGATCACCAATGGTTTCACCATCAGCTAGGTATTAAAGTATTATTTAAATAATGTTGAATGTTATTTAAATAATCAATTCTATTTTATAGACAACCACCACCTTATAGACCACCACCTTCTCCAATTGTATCACCTAACGATTGTTCACCGACTAAAGAGGCTGCACCTCCTGTGCCTCCTAGACGTAGAAGTTCTGAGAAAATAAGATTGATTGAATCAAATGAAAATGTCATAATTAACTTTAAGGACAACTATGTAAGAAAAATGTATTTGTATTATTATTTTGCAATTTATACAGTTCCTTTTTCTTTTTTTTTTTTTGGTTAAAAGTATAACTGCTGGATGGTTTTGCTTATTTTTTTAATAACTATGTGTTTTGCTTTTTTCATTATTATTTTGTGTTTTGCTATTGCACGTACATAATGAATAGAAAGAAAATGATCAACCTCAACAGCCTCAGATAAGTGTGAAAGATCGTACACAAAAGTTCAACCGGATAGCATCTGAAAATGCTTTACAGTTAGCTAGTCAACAGCCGTCACCAAATAAAAAAAAAATTGATAAGGTAATTTACAAAATTATATTTATTAATTTATTTGCTTTATGTTTTTACATTTATAACACTAGTGCGGTGTATAATTGTTATTTTATAAGTATTAAGTACTTTATATTCATTTCATTATCTATTTAGAAAGGTAATATTTAAATTATACTTCATCATTGAATTATATCTGTTATGATTAGATAAAAGATTTTTAATTTTTTGAACATTTTATAGTATAGTAAATATATGATAGGTATGCTTAAAAAAAGTTCAATTTTTATAGTTTTGAAAACAGTTATAAGGTTATTTAAACAATCATACTAAATAATAAGCGATTACTTTGAATTATGCATTTAATAGAGATAATCAGATCTATGTTAAGGTTCCTGGTTGTATAATCTTATTTAAGTTGGTTGTGGTGCAAAGTTTGTTAATGTAAGAAAATTATAATAATTAATAATGGACAGTATTTATTATTTAGGTAACAATTTAATTTTGATCTCAGTTGATGTTCTTTAACTTAATAACTTTTATAAAAAAAAAAAACTTATTTTCAATATTATAAATGAAATAATGATCATTCATTTTGGACTTACAGGTAAGTTAAACAATTTTTAATATGGTTTTTGGGTTTTGTGTTTGAAATATATAGGTATTGATAAATGTGTTATTGTATGTATATTACATAACATAGTTATGTACAATTTATTCCTATGTAAATATTCATTATAAAGGTACCTAGTAAAATGTTTTTAACAATTTAAAGCTTTGTATTTACATACATTTTTCCACATATTCCTTTAATTCTTAAAAGTTCTACAATTTCTATTAAGTTAAGCGTTATTTTTCAGTGCATATTTTATAAATTATGGGGAAGTTAATAAATTAATCTACTATCTTTTTTTTATCAATTTTATTATTCAAATTAAAGCGATAAATATTTATAAAATGTATTCACGATTATTAATTCATATTTAAAACATTTGGCAATTTGTACATTTTGATTTTTGTAGCTCTTAAAAACTTTATTTCAAAGTTTATTTAACATTACTTAAATTTAAAATTTGAAAAATTATTATATGGTCATTTGCTAATCTAAAATTATAGAGTGAGAAATTGAGCATTTTTATTATTTTACCCCTTAAAATGGTAAATCTTCATGGAACATCTTGTATATATTTATTGGACTATTTTATGCTATTCATTTTTTTGACCGATAAGATTGAAGTATTGGTTATTTCATAGTTGGTATCTCGGATCAAGAAAATTTGACATATGACTAATAAAATGCAGTGCCCCTTTATAAGTGGTAGTTATATAATTATATAATTATATATAGACATATATAATTATATAATTATATATAATTCATAAATAGATCATGACTTTTTATATTCTTCTTAAAATTAAAAGCGCCCTTATACCAACAACATCTGGGACAAACATATGAACTTACCTTCCCCTTCCTAGATCAGCATTGTTCATCGTTAGATAGCTATCCCATGAGAAATTAATTTTTTTTTATATTAAGTTTGTTATTATTTAATCTTAATTTGTATAAATACTCTTTGGACCTTATTGCACATATGACTGTATAAATGGTTTTATCAGAAATTAGCAGTGAAATATAATTAAATTTTACGGTATATGTTGTTTATTTGTACAGTAAAATATTTATATCTACAAAAGTTGGTTTAATTGACTATATTTTAATTTTTCAATTTATAATTTTTAAAATTGAATGATGGAATGTTTAAAATTCATGATTTAAAACCATTAAAAATCCCTATTTTTATGTAATATTATTAAATAATTAAACGAAGAAAAAAGATTTATTATCATTATTATATATTATTTATCATTAAAACGTATACATTGCTCTTTGCACTAAACCAATTTTTTTTAAAAATTAGATGTTCTCTGTAAAAATATATGATATAAAATAATAAAAATGATACAATATAGTTAGTATGATATGGTATATTGATACTTATGATACATGGTTGTTATTCACTTATTAGCAATCGAATAAATTATAATTTTATGTAGGTTTTAAAAAAAAAAAAAATTATTATACTCTTGCTATTAACTGTTGATGTTGCACCCGATATGAATTTATTTACCATTATTTGAATGATTCTTATTTTAAATATATCATATTATGTGTTTATTAAATCGAAGGAAAACGTATACTGCATTGGTACTTAAAATTCAACATTCGATTAATAGTGTTACAAATCGTACTCGGTTTGAATAACGTAAATAAATGGTTGCTTTTAAACATTCGGTCGAGTTAGTAGTAGTCCTGGGTATTAATTACAACCGGGTACATTATTTATTTATTGTTTTCTACGACTGTACATTAGATTTTAGATATTTTCGTCTTAGCGTCGCGTCGGTCGTGTGTATGACAAATTAATATTCGTCTTGGATATTTGCCAACCGTTGTACGTCTATTAGGCTTGAATTTCTATGCGATCATCCGTCTTATTTCCAAGTGTATACGCTGCGTGTGTACGGACACGAAAACATCGTCGCAATAATGGTCGACTAAAATTCTCTGCATCCGTATAACTATGCGTACGTAATGCTCTCATTAAAAACGAAACGGTTTCCTTTCCGTGTGCGCAGGGTCGGTTAAAAGAAATAAGTAAAAAAAAATCCTATATCGTATTCATATACCGTGGTACGGTGTATGAAATCGGTGCGAGCCAGCTGGGTGGGCAGAGCAATGAGCTATAAATCAGCCGAGCCAAACCGTACGAAACATACCCCAGCGCGCGCGCCCATAAGTTGTGCTGCCACTCTTCGGAGTTGCGCGCGCGGGAGGACGCGAGCACCGCTGCGCGCGTACATATTCCGTCCGGTGCACACGAGCGCTACGTCGGCGATGCACTTGAACGTTTGCAACCGTATTGTTGTTCATAATTGCGCGCGCGTAACGTTGAACAAATCGCGACGGAAGAGATTTTCCATTCGAAAGCGATTCTTGCGCCCATCAATATTATTATTGCTTTTGTTATTAGTAAATCCATCGCAATTATCGTTATCGAACAGCTACAGCGAGCTTTTCGGTGTTAACATTTTCCGTATCACCGCGCGCGCCGTTGCCACTGCACGCCGTCGGTCGGTGACACGTTATGGCGAAGTCCACTCCCAACATTCGGTTTATATAATTTATCAGGGCAAGGGCCTCAGCCGCGGTTATTTATAGTTCACGTCACGGCCACCTAGAGCGGATAATTTTAATTAATTAAATACACCGTGGGACTTAATGAACTCGATCGAAATTCGGGTCGGTAGGGGGACAGTGGTAGAGAAAAGTGTAACATTCATTAGTATATAGCACACCCCCACACCATAATCGTTGACATACACAATATATACGTATACGTATATATATATTTTTTCACTGAAATGCAAAAAAAAAGCCCATAGTAATCATTAAAACATGTATTCCCGAGCACACCTATATGCAGTGTATATTTTTTCAGCATGTTAAGTTTTATATTCACGTACGTAACTGGCTTTGAATACAAATGCTCTTCATAATCAACAGTCGCGTGCATTAATTTTGACTAATAAATTACATTTAACCAATAAATAACAGTTAAACGAAATTAAAAAAAAATATATATATATACACACAATAAAACATGAACATTGAATTATTATTATTTATAATGAAATTGTATGTCTATGTTATATGTAACGCTGGTTATGGATATATTAGGTTGCCTTTATTTAGAAAAATGTATTTTATAGTACACTAGTTTATTGAATCATTAAAGACATTTAGTCTAAAAAATTAACCATTTTAAAAATTCTCCTAAATTCAGTAACAAGAAGTATGTACTCGCTTTGATTTTGTGTGTATTTGATACCTATTTCGTTTTAATTTCCCTTTATATTTTGGATTTATTTTCCTGTATGTTTGATCACACAGCGAAATTATTTTTTACTGTTTTAATTGTAATAACATTAAAATATATACTCATTTATATTACATACTTATTAAATCTTTAGATATCTATACATAACTTATTATAAATATTTAATTGGTTGTAAATAAACAACATTTATGAGACATAGTTAAACGTTTGCGGTTCATTGATACGTCATAATGATTTAATAATTAACATTTTGATAATTATATCGTTTATTTTTTACATCTAGTTGTACAACAGTAGTTGTCACGTAGCTTACTTTCAAATAAAAATAAGATTTTCATTATTAACATTTTTGATGTGTTAACAAATAGTCTAATTTCATTTCTCTATATTGACAGAAGAAATATAATATTTTATTTTTATTGTTTCTAAAAAAAAAAAAAAAATCAATTTATAAAAACAACAATCAAGAATAAAAAAAATACCAGGCATTTTATACGGATATAATTTTTTTATTAATAAACTGCAGTTTAATTAGTTGGTAAGTTTATGTATTACTATTCGTTATATTTAAGGAGGTCTTAAAATGAAAAATAAAATAATAAGTAAATTATATATTAGATTAATAACGTAAGACTTGAATCAACTATAATATCATATGCTTAGATTTTTTTTCATGCCTATTTTTTTGCAAATTATTCAATTAGAGTTGTAAAAAAATAATAAATAATTATATTTTCTATATTAAATATAATTAATTAAGATAGAAAAAAGTTTGGAATTTCAAATTACGGGTTTTCAAACATTTTAAAATATTTAAAAAATTGCTCTCACATTTTAATCGGAACAGGACAGTGTATATTGTTATGACATTATGACAATCAAATAATTAACTTAATATAGATACCAACGAATTTCAGCTTATTGATTTACATTCTTGATTATATTTTAAATTTTTAAAAAAAAAGTATCGTAAACTTTTTAATAAAAAATTTAATTTAAATTTGTATTTTATTTAAATAATTAAATAGTATATTACTATACCTAAGTAAAATATCATTTTAAAATTATTATTTTTTTTAATATTATGTTAATAGTAAGAACGTAGTTGTTGATATAATATGAAATAGATATTTTCATGTTCATATGTATCTATTGGCACATTTAATTAGACAAATTACATTAGAAAAAATAAAAGCACTTAATACTTTGATTTCATGTTATTCTAAAAAAATATTCCCACAATCCACCGAAGAGCATTTATTTGCTTACACAATTCATAGTGAAAAATGCTGTTTCTAATATAAAAAAAAAAAAATTGTTTGAGTATAATGTTTATAGCTTTTTTGTTAAATTATAACTTTCCTTCGTATATTTTGTTTATTTTCTCTGCAATTAGAGAACATCTATGTAATAACTATCATCAAAGTGCATCTTCAGGCAGTAGTTGAATAACAAATTTTCTATCAACATATTATTATATTTATTATATTACATTATAATTGTATTCAATCATATGGCTTTGTTGTTTTGAATTATTATATAATAGCTAATATTGGTAGCATATCAAACGACATCAATCAATTTAAATAACTTATAATTATAAACGCCCGGGGATGTATTTCATTGATCAGTAAATGATAAAATTAAAATATTATTGATATTTAACGTCATATAAATAGTAGAAGAGAAATACTGAAACATTTGTTGTTATATCACAAAAAATTTCTTTGAAAAATTGGCAAACATACAAGAACATTTAATTTCAATAACTTAAGTATGAAAGTATACGTAGTTTGTTGGGTAAAAAATATTTAACTGATTTTGACAGATTTTTACTAAATTAAAAATAAACAATTTAGTTATTTCGTATAAATTATCAAAATATATAGTTTATGGCCAAGATTTATGTAATTTTTAAAAACATTTGACATTAAACTACCGAATAGTTTTTGGACCATATTGCACGTGATTTACGGTCTTTAGCAATTATTTCACTCGAGAAACGTGTATCTTTTAAATTACCTCTTTCCCCTCTCCTATTTTTAGGTGTTGCGGTAATAAATTACGTCCTGACATTGTTTATATAACAATGGATAAAATCAACAGTAAAAATCTTGTTGCAGCAAATTCAGATCGAAGCCTTATTTCAATATCAATTTAGTTTATCAATTGGATTACGGTTGAGTTTTACTGATTTTGCTTACAAGGTGTTTTGAAACGCAGAATATCAATTCGTCATAGTGTTACCATTGTGCGTGTTTTATTGGCTGTGTGAAACCTTACGATATATTGATTCCATCAATATTGCACTAGGGGATTATTTGGGTGACGGATATAAAATTCAGATAATTTGTGCAATGTGCACATAAAGAAACCTTTTAAAATAATAGAAGCCAAACATTTTTTAGCATCTCCGACAGGGTAATTTAATTTTTAAGAAAAATATTTCCATAAATTTAATGTAAGTTTTTCATCTTTTCAATATTATTATCTTACAAAACTATTCGTGTGTTTGTAAAATAAATTACATTTTTCCATAATCAAAATTGCATTAAATTTAGTTTTAAAAACATAAATTGTGAACGCTTATTGTGTATTAATATAATGCCTCACTGAAAATCATAGAACGATTGAATGTAATATATTTGTTCAATCTGAAAAGTGACTCCTTAATATGAGCTTTAATAATGGCTATTAAGTTAAGCTCAGTTATTATGGTTTATTGCCTACTTTTACCTTGACTAACATTACTTCTAAAAATAGTAATGACAGAATAATTATTAAATCTTGCAATCTTGTATCAAAGAAAAATATTTATTGATGTATTTACAGTACTTAATTTTTATTCTAAGTAAAAAAAAAATGTAATAATTTTTAGACTCGTAGAATAACGATATAATTAGTTATTGGAATATATATTATATATGTATCATTATTTTTTTTCGTAAAATATTTTAGTATTTACTAAAAAAGATAATCAACATGATAATAGCTATGCCGAGATAATTAGAACTATTTATCAGATATTTTATTATTTAATTACATCTACCTATTGTAATAGTTTATTATTCAATATGTGATTCAAAGTATATTGTTTGTATACCATTATATTTTTTCTACTCAGTTAATTTATAAATCATGAAAACTGTATTATGTTTACCGGTATCTGTATAATAAATAATAATGCCATTGTTGAAATCCAGCAACTCTAGAGCTTTTGAGTGAATAAAGGATAACATTTCCTCTATTGTTTATTATCATCGAAACCGAACATTTCTTTGTTAATTTAACTTGTATATCTTGTTTTTTATTACTATTATTTTAAAGAAACATTATATTAAAATAAAGTTCTGTCTTAAATTTATAAGTTGATATACCAACCTAAGACTAAATTGAAATTAAATCATTATCAAATTTAATTGTCCATAATATATTATGTATTTACTTTTATTTATTCTATAAACCATTATAAAGATTTACATTTATTAGGGTACATTTATAGTTAACTTTACATAGTGACATTTTGAATTTGTTATAAATATATGATTTGATATTGGTATTAACTGTATCGATAAAATATTACTGGACTGTGTGATTTACATTCTGAAAAAATAATATATTAATTTTTTTTTTTTAACTAAAAGTTTTCATAAGCTTAACCATCTCGTATATACAATTCAGTAGAAAACAAATGCTCGGTTTAATAAAATATTATTTATTACACAGTTACTCAGATTTTAATTTTTAATAAATAAGAACTTTTTGTTTATTAGCTTCAAATAAATGTAGTTTTCAAAACATACATCCACAAATAGCTGTTATTTGCAGTTCTATCATTTCACTTTCAGCTCTTTCCCTATTTTTTCAGTATGATAATTATATTATTGTTAATATAATATTTTTATTTTTTTTTTTACTTATAATCCCTAACTGATGTTTTATAATAATAAAGTTACTAACGAGAAATGGCCTCTGGGGGAAAATATGGGAGAAAAACCGCCACTTACCGTGCGGTTTCGAGTGCAGGGCGGAAATCTAATGATCCGCGGCAACAAGTTGCCCGGCGGTAGCGACTGTTGCCGCGTGTCCGCACGTCGCCCGAAGACATAAGTTTTCAATATTTTTCTCCCCTAGATACACGTGCATTGTACACGTGTCCATTAGTTTTTGCGACCCTTCAATCATCAATTCTTAGAAATTTGTTACGGTTTACAATGATAAAATTTTTTCTCGTCACCGATCATAATGTGTTATAATTAATAATAATATTAAGTATTACCGACAGCGTCTGATACAGTAGTATTTTCGTTGTATTTTATTCGCCGTGCGTATAGAATATGCATTTTGCAAGCGTAGACATGCGTTTATAATATTAAAAGTTATAAAAAAACAAAAGTAGGTACTCGAATCTACAATTGTGAATAATTGAGCTGATTCACTTTATAAAAGTATGCCTGTATTGCCTTATGTATTTATTCAAAATCTGTCTATTTCCCGTATATAATATATGGAGAAAAAATAGCACCATAAATCTCCGAGTCGTCGCGTCCCTCGAAGATTAATAGAGTGACAACAGAAAGAGGTCTTGAAAATTCTCTCCCTATTAAAGTAATTAATAACGAGCGGCCAGAAAAGGAGGGTTTAAAATATAAACGGGAGGAATGGGGCAAATAGCCAAACATTCGATGTGTATATACATCTATGTGTCAAAATTGTTATCGAGGTCATATAAACGCAATGATTTACAAAACCATGCGAATTAATTTAATTGCTGACTAATGTTTTTGGATTTACAAACTGCTAATTTGACCGTTCCTACTTTTTACCAATGTAATTTAAAAATTTATATTTTTTTTTTTTACAGAACGATAAAGACGAAGACACCATTTCTATGACTTCGGTAAGTATACTGCAGAAACATTAGTGTGATAATTTTTTCTTAAATTAATCATTTTTTTTACAGTTAGATCCCAAGACCAAAGAATGGGTAATCAAGTCGGCTCAGTGTGACTATCAAGCTTTGGCGAAAATGGCTTCTGAAAATCCTCGAATTGCGAAATTCAAGGTAAGGCAGTTTTTATAATTTATTGCGGTATCTTCATAAATAGGAGAACAATTAAATTAATTTCAATTTAAATTAGGGATATGGTTTTATTATATTATTTTGTATTTTAATCCACATGATTTGGATTTCAATCATAAATTATTCTATATTTTGTTAGTTCAAAATTCTATTGACAATTTTATATTTTACATAAAACACATAAATACACATTTTTACTATTTACGTGTTTCTATAAATGTAAGTATTAAGATATAAATGTTCATAGAAAAAGTAAATTTCAGTTACTTATACGATTTTTACGATTGCTAATGTTAATATTAAGTACGCATGTTTATGGAAGTTTACCACCAATAGATACTACCAATCTAGGTACTTTAATCTTATACTTTTAAAGATGCTTATTTAGCACTGAAGTGAGTTTATAATAACGTATGATTGTTATCGCAAAACTCTATTGTTTTTTATGATATTATTGATAAAAGAACAATGGGATAGTGATAATAAGATAACGACTGATCATTATAACGAATTCTTAAGTTTCAATCCATATTTATTTTATTCCATTATGTACTGCATATAATGTAATGAATATATTACATATTACGTGTGTCTAAACATTTTACTGTTCACACTTGATAGATTTTTAATTTAAATAATACTCCAAAGATAGTAAGACAATAGTTTTTTTTTAATAGCATCCATATTTATAAATTATTACATCATATTTTAACATTTAAATCATTATAATTATGCAAATGTAATAATTTTTCTTTCTTCTTTGTCATAAAATTGTATATGATTTTAGTTAGGTTTTTATATCAGTACATAATTTTTACCATGTATTAGATTCATACCTTCTTCATGTCGTTTGAAATATAGTCTAGAAAATATGGAATTCAATAAAATGTAATTGGATTTTTTACAATCCAATGTGCTATACATACTCAGGTTTATTTAATCTAGATATTATCATTCTATTGTTGTATGACAGTTAGATTTATTTAAAATTAGATCAATTTATTTTGGATTAGAGTTATAAGTATAAAAGGATTTCTGATACCAATTATAGTTAAAATCTAACACTGTAGCTTATGTTGAACATAAAAAAAAAAATGTTCTTTATTAACATAGGTATTTTCAGTAAATATGATAGTATAAAACATTATATATCACTAGAGATATAATAAATATGTATCGTTTATCCGCGATCATTTGTTTTACTTTTTTTTTTCAAAAAAAAATTTGCTGTTGGTATAAGAACTTTTAGACTTTGACAATAGCAAATAGGATTATGGGAATTTCGTTTCGACTGGGGTTGCGTCGGTATTTCTTTTCGCACTTTACCTTAGAATGTCCGATCATCGGATTATGAAGGGTCCGAAAAAAACTTGTTCTGGATGGATATATATATATACAAGCTATGAATATACATAGTGTATATAATATGCATATATAGCACGCAACAAATTTTATAATCAAAACTGTTGGTTTTGAATATGCAAATCCCGAAATGTAAATTGATCCTGACGGCTGTAACCTCGTTCCTCTTTGTGGGACTGATAAACACACACACACTTATTCTAATACTATCGCTAACTCTAACACTAAACCAACACATACATACTCACTCGTTGTAATTAAATCATCCCGAGGACACGGGATTCTGTGGTGTGGCGAAAACAGTGTTGGAAAGGAGGAAGAGGAATTGTCCCCTGCGATTAAAATGCCGGACCCGGGGATATTTTAATTAATGTCCGAGCCTGAAAACCGGAGGACCTGTGCCAAAAGGCGGGAATCTCTTGCCAACCGCCGCAAAACAAGTCTGTTGTCGTCCCTCCGACTAGAATATACAATACCAACCACCCCTCGCCTTGTATCTATGTGTACGTATATATATATATACATACTTATGTATACACAAACACACACATGCAGACAGACGTGTATTGCTGTACCCGTGTGGCCAATGTACTGTCGAATAATACCGACGGGTGGTTTGCGTGTATAATAATATTATTTGGCCTCGGGGATGCCTCCGGGACGTACATGGGTCTCAATTAATTCCGCCGCCGTTGCTGGACATGGTTTTCCCGAACGCCAACCATCATCACCACCTCCCGTCCTGCAGCGTCCCTTTCAAACAAACGCATCGATCCCATTGATTTTCGCGATAAACCATACACGCCTCCTTCTTCGTTTCGTCCGTTGTTCGTGTATTTCGGTGGTCCAATTAGCCCATGCCGCTGCACAATAACGTGTATGTACAATTAACTTTCATATAATGAATTGGTAAATAGTCTTTACTCATATATGAATGTGTACGACCATATATGTTGTACATTATTATACTGTGTGGTCTAGCGGTTCGCATGTTAAAACGTTTTTGAAACTCTACATCTGACGTAACAAAATTAAGGGAAACAAGGGTTAACGTGGTGTTAATTTAAACACAAATCTTGATTAACACTTCCTGTTTTGATTTATAACGTTTTACGGAAATCGTTTGTATTATCTACTTTTTGTGTACATTGTGTAAACGTATTATTTTACGTAAATTATAACGCTGCAAATCCACGAGAAATAAAGAATTCCAACAGTAATATCAACCTGTGTTAAACGACTGTTTGATTTTTCCTCCGAAGATAGTAATATTTATATCTACTGAAATGTCTTATCATTTTTTGTTTTACGTACATCGTTTATTTATAATTTTTCAAATACTATAATGTGATTCAGTGGTGCCTACGTAGGGTATTAAGTAGCAAAATTGCATGGCTTTCACGTGAGTCCCAGGTCCTATCTACATTTGGGGGGCTTTCTCTGGAGCAATGGATTTGCAATATTTTATTATTTATATAAAGGAAAAAAGAAAAATCGTGAAGTATTATATATTAGTAAATTATGTCGTCTGGAAAAAAAATTATTTAAGTTAAATTAATATAAATGTAGACCAAAATTAATTTGAAGTGCCTATAATTATAACTGCACTGGTTCATGAAAAGCTTTTGGGCACCACTGATGTAATTGATCATACTATTATGAAACTATATAAGCTGCATATTGTTGTATGTTGTTTACCGTTGAAAATTATTTTAAATATAATTGAAACATTTATAAGTTATAATTGTTATTTTAAGTTTACATGTACTGATATTACTTATTTAAGAAAAATTATGTTAAAACCATAAAAAATAATTTTTTTTCTAGAAAGCTTATGGACTTTTTTTTTGAATAAAAAAACATAATAATAAACTAAATACTTTATAAATTATGGAAAATTTTATTACAGCAATATTTAAAATTATATTATTATTTTCGATGGATGAACTTTAAAATTTGTCACATAACATTTTTATTAATTTTATTTAAATTGACAAAAATAAACGCTAAGAAAAAAGTAAGTGTAAGACAAAGAATGAAATTCGTATTACTGATTATGCAATTTATGAAAAAAACAAATACCAAGAGTTAAAAAAAATGAGTCGTGAAAGAAGCATGGGAAATTGTAATTTGCGTTTAAGTAATCTAAAGAATGATTACTCGAAGAAGAAGTGTGACATTAAAAAATACATTATTTCACTTTAAAATATATTTTTAATATTAACTGTTGACCAACAATCAAAATAGATATTTAAATATTTAACTGTCTATAAAAAATATTATGTATAAATATTTTATGAGTATTAATAATGAATTATACTCAATAAATAATTGTCTTACTTAGTAACTTCGTTATTTAATCTGTTTAATTTCAGTTTCTAACTGCGACAAACTATTCATATCTATCCGTATTTATAATAATGACTTATTATAATAGTACTGTTGATTGCCGTTTTGAAATAGTACTGTGTACGTACTACATAGCTAACCAGAATATTTTATTTGTTTAAAAATTCCAAATTATCGCTAGTCATTTGGGGTTTTTATTATATCGTAAATTATTAAGGATTTTGGTCGAATCAAACACTTGGTTGATTATATATGACAAATAATTCATTTTAAGTTTCTAGAATTTCTTATTTGTTGGCTATGTATATTTTTATTGCTAAAAATCTGGAAAATATAATTTTTTATTTATATATCTATAGTAATTAAAAATGATTACGATCTCATAGGTACCTGTATTATTTTGACATTCATTTTTCGAATGAATTTTTAATCATAAAATAATTTTCATCTTGAGTAGGCAATTTTGTTTTACATGGTAATAAAATAAAAGTTATAACATTAAATTCATTGTATTATCGGCTTATTTTTCTTCCTGATGATATTAAGTATAATAGCGGCCAATAATTAACATAACGATGCAATACTAAAAATATATTACGATTAGTTGGTATGTTTTATCTTAAAGAACTCATCTTTCACTTTATTACATAATTTAATCTCTAATCATTTTATTTAGTTGTTTAATATTAAATTAATCTGAGTTATTTGTAATGAATCGAATTAATGTATTTTTAATAATAAACTGAATTACGAAACAGCTAAAATGTTAATATCATATAATTATTTTTAAACTTATATATGAGTAATATATATTACAAAAATATAAAATAAAAATATACAGTATCTATAGGTTATAACCAATAGCAATCATATGGTGCTCAGCTAAAGTAGCTATTTCAAATATTTTTCATTAACGCATATAAACTTTTTCTGTGTATTTGTTAGTCGCTGGAGATTGAAAGATGAATAGACGATTATATGATTGACTTAAAATAATGTGATTCTCATAGATTGAGGGGTTGATCCTTAACAGGGGTTATTTATGATGGGGTCGCCAATAGAGGGGTTGTGTTCAAATATAATAAGTGTTTATAATTATTTCTCGTGCAATATGTTATGTTTCGATTTTAATGCCCATTTTTAGTATTTGAGGTAATCATATTATTCCAATATTTTTTATTTACTAATAAGATTATATTGATACATTTAGTTTTTTTTTTTAAATTTCAATTTAAAATAAGAATTTTTTTGTTCACATAATTTATTATTAT